CTTGATCAGGATCTGAAGAAAAAATAATAGCTTGGTACTTTAGGTGTTCAGAAGTTTTCACATCTCAAAGTTTATTTGTATTCGTTTTCTCTTTGTTTAGGTCAGTTGAAAGGGAATATGATGACCTGAGCTTAAAGTCCCGAGAAGCAGAAAAGGAGGCCAGCATGTTGCAGATGAAGATACAAGAAGTAACCAATAGCCTATCCAAGCATCACAAGGATACAGAATGTAAGCACTGGTGTATAATTTAAAGAAAGATACAAATTGGTCAGTTTTCTGACTAGCGCCTGAAGTTGTGGAAAAAAATGCTCTTGACTCACTTTGCCAGTGGTACCAATTATTAGGACCAATTCTTAATTTATGTTTACAATGAAATGAAACTTATAACTCAGATAAGGACTCCATTGTTGATGCACAGTGAATGATTAGCCAGTATATGCACTCAGTCTGATTTGCGTATTCTTTATGCAGCAAGAAAGAGATACATTGAGTCCAAGCTTCAAGACTTAAAACAGGAATCATTTACCATTGATGCTTATCCCAAAATGCTGGAGTTGGCTAAGGACAAAAGGGACCAAGACAAAAGGTTTCTGATTGAAAATGGCAGACTATTTCTACATGCCCAATTACATGCTTTGCGTGAATTCCAATATATTTCCCTCTTGCACTCAAAGCGTAGTTCTGTTTCTGGTCTGCGTTTGCAGCAAATATAGCTTGGCAAAGGGTATGCGTGAGATGTTTGAGCCATTTGAAAGGATTGCCCGTGAAAATCATTTATGTCCATGCTGTGAGCGCGCTTTTTCAGCTGAAGAAGAGGATAACTTCGTTAAGAAGGTTAAAAAAACTCCTCCTGTAGATTATTCCTTTCAGTTCATACTTTTTTATGCTTCTGAAATAACTGTCTCTTCATTTGATTATGTAAATTTTCTTTCAACGACAGCAAAGGGTTAAGGCTACAACCACGGGGCAGCATGCCAAAGCATTAGCAGCAGAGTCTTCAAACGCTGACTCTATCTTTCAGCAGCTGGACAAACTTCGATCAGTTTTCGAAGAGCACTCGAAACTAACCAATGAAATTATTCCCCAAGCTGAGAAATCTTTGCAAGAGTATAGAGAAGAGTTGGACCAGAAGTCTGAAGCCCTTGATGATGTGAGTTGGGGAGCTCTAGAAATTTCCTTAGATAAAACTGATTGGCACCGCAAAGTCAATTAGAGTCAGTAGAAGTTTTGTTTTTTTCTGAATGCTCTGCTTCTTAACAATCTTGTTGTGATGCTCGCAAGCTGGAAAAATCCTACTTTTAGTTCATATCTTCTCAAACTACATATCATCAATATTTTCAGGTATTAGTAGTTTCAGCGCAGATAAAAGCTGACAAAGAATCAGTTGAAGCACTGGTGCAGCCCCTGGAAAATGCTGATAGACTCTTCCAGGAAATCGTATCCTACCAAAAGCAAATTGAAGATCTCGAATATAAACTTGATTTCAGGGGTCTTGGAGTTAAAACTATGCAAGAAATCCAATCAGAATTAAGTAGCCTCCAAAGCACCAAGTGAGTACTCTGAATTTATACAGTGTAAAACATATTTCTTTTCCTTGAATATTTCTTGATTTAGCATTGCACAGTTTTTCTATATTTTCCTTACTTATGTACCCATGAACAGGGATAAATTGCACGGTGAGCTGGAGAAATTAAGGGATGAACAGATTTACATGGAACGTGATATATCATGCCTCCAGGCTAGATGGCATGCACTAAGAGAGAAGAAGGCTAAGGCAGCAAATTTGTTACGCGACGTTACAAAGACAGAAGAAGACCTAGAGCGTTTAGCCGAGGAGAAAAGTCAACTTGAGCTAGACGTGAAGGTGCGTCTTATGCGAGTGTTGTTCAGATTGTTTCCACTTGTCTTTCCGTGTGTCACTATTATGATTTTATTAAAGTACATTGTTCATTGGCAAAATGGAGATTCTAATATATTAGGTCCGCGATCATGAATGAGAGTTCTTCATTGTGGGGAATGTGATTAGTGGATCATCGTCTTTCCAATAAACTATGCTTCCTAGTATTGCAATGCAATGGAACAGGGGCTTTGATCTGTAACCTTACTGCATATAGATAACTGCATATAGATATGCAGAGGATACGTCATAGAATGGGTAGCGATAACTTCCTCCCGAGTAGGGTGGTAGTTTGCTTGTAAATGGTTAAGTTTGTGTATCTGAAAAGCTTCGAGTATATTTTGTCTATGCATTCGTTGAAATGTGATCCAGTAGTGTCTTTAAATCTGCAAACATGTAAACCTGGTATTGCTTCAAATTGTTTCTGTTACATTAATGTAGAACCCCTAAATGTAACATTTCCCTTCATAACTTTTCAGCATTTGACTGAGGCTCTGGGCCCTTTATCCAAGGAAAAGGAGAAGTTACTGAGTGACTACAATGGTATGAAAGTTAAACGTAATCAAGAGTACGAAGAACTGGCTGACAAAAAGAGAAACTACCAACAAGAAGTTGAAGCATTACTCAAGGCCAGTTCTAAGATTAATGAGTATGTTCCATTAACCCTATGTTAATTCATCCTATCATGTGTACCAGATTCGCTTACAGCTGCTTCACCAGGTACAATGATCTGAAGAAAGGAGAGCGGTTAAATGACATTCAAGAGAAACAGCGGGTATCTGAATCCCAGCTTCAGAGCTCTGAAGCTAGAAAGAATGAAATTGCAGCTGAACTGAACAAAAGTAAAGACTTGATGCGGAATCAAGATCAACTGAGAAGAAATATAGAGGACAACTTGAACTACCGGACAACAAAAGCAGAAGTTGAGGACCTTACACGTGAGATTGAATCACTAGAAGAGAGAATCTTGAAAATTGGTGGGATACCCGCAGTTGAAGCTGAACTTGTTAAGATATCGCGGGAAAGGGAAAGACTTCTTTCAGAGGTACGCAGACACTTATATACTTATAGCAGTCGCTCTGATATAACACGTATTCATTTGGTTTTTTATAGTTAGCCAGTCATTTTTTTCCCTGATGGTAAGTGTAAGATCTTGCATTTCTCCTATATAAGCTCGTTTCAAGGTAGCTATATCGAGTGGAGAAATAAGGGTTTCTTCGTTTATTAGTTATTACTTATTAGTCGTCACTGTATTATCTAAAGATAAGATTTCAATTCAAAGCTTACAGTACCTATTTGTGCTTGAAGTAAAATTATCTTCTTCCTGCAGTTGAATCGGTGTCGTGGAACAGTGTCTGTTTATGAAAGCAGTATTTCAAAGAACAAGGTGGAGCTAAAACAGGCACAATACAAGGACATAGATAAGCGGCACTATGATCAACTGATCCAGCTGAAGGTAAGACGTGATAGTATTACCTTGTGGCAGTGTCTCAAGTCTCAATGATGAATGAATTCCACTCTGACTGCATAAATTTAACATTTCATTTTGGCTAGACAACTGAAATGGCAAACAAAGACTTGGACAGATACTACAATGCCCTTGACAAGTAAGCTGTTCTCGAGTCCTTATATGAGTTTCTGTTCTAATATTTTTCATTCTGCACTATCCAATTCACAATCATTTAATCTGCAGTTTTTAACATAGATTTTAACTTTGTTGAATATTTACAGAGCACTAATGCGCTTCCACACAATGAAAATGGAGGAAATAAATAAGATTATAAGGGAGCTGTGGCAGCAGACCTACAGAGGTCAAGATATAGATTACATCAGAATACATTCAGATTCCGAGGGTGCAGGCACTCGCTCTTACAGCTACATGGTACTCTACATGATTAACAGCATGCTTTTGCCATCTGATTCACCATCAACATTGCGTTACACTATTTCTTTTCGTTTTTTAGGTTCTTATGCAGACTGGTGATACAGAACTTGAAATGAGAGGAAGATGCAGTGCAGGTCAAAAGGCGAGTTGTTCTAAAATTCCTCTTGCTATTCTTATAAGCTTCGTTCTTTAACTCAGGTGATCACTTTCTTATTCATCTTCCCCTGCAGGTTCTTGCTTCGTTGATAATAAGGTTGGCTTTGGCCGAGACATTTTGCTTAAACTGTGGAATATTAGCCCTTGATGAGCCAACTACAAACTTGGACGCGCCCAATTCAGAATCTCTTGCAGGAGCTCTTCTTAGGTAAGAATCAAGATCTATACCCTTATTGAGTTATGATGATGACACATGGGTTCATGTATCATACGTTGAAATTTAACCAGCTAAACGCTGAAATCATTTTTGTGGTGTTGACCTTGTATTTGCCATAATGTTGTTACACATTTTAAGACCACAACTCTCAACATTGGATCTTATTATTTCATTGCATTCTCCAGGATCATGGAGGACAGAAAGTGCCAAGAGAATTTCCAACTCATAGTCATTACCCACGACGAACGCTTTGCTCAAATGATTGGCCAACGGCAACATGCTGAAAAATATTACCGGGTTGCGAAAGATGATATGTAAGCAAAACGTTCTTGCTTGCCACTCTCAATCTTTCTTTCTGTTCTTGATTATGTTCCAATATCTGAAACTTCCACAACTCGTGGTCTTCTCAGGCAACACAGCATAATCGAGGCCCAAGAGATCTTCGATTGACAAACTGGTTTCTTGTCCTATAAACCAACATAACATCATTAGCCAGTGTTTAACGGTAAGCTCGTTTTTTAAGCAATAGGGAGCTTTTTTGCCTTCGTTATTCTCAACTCTACGCATGTTTGATTAGATGTGTGCAAAATTTTCAACTAAACTGAAAAAATCGGAATGTAAAAGCACCTCTTTGAACCCTTTATAAGCTTAGTTTTTGATGATGGTTTTGATATTCTCAACAAGTCAACTTCATAACATCACTTGTCTTTATTTATGAACACGGAACAACACAAACATCATTACAACCAACTATTAACCCATTATTAATAGTTTCATATCATACACCTTTTGTCTTTTATTGATTTGAAAATTTCCGTTATTACTTTGAGCGTAAAGAAATGAAGTTAGTAGATAGGACTAGCAACAGGAGTGAAACCGAGCAACTTCTTAGAATGGAGCCATGGTTGAATAACCACAACAGAGTCAAACATCCTGCTCGTGCCATCGGGCTGAGTCACTTCAATCCTTAGATAGTATTTAGTACCAGCCACGACCTGTTTCTGAGCCGACACAACTCGGCTAAATTTCAGCGGATTCGACACGGCCGTGTTCGCAACGGATGCTACATTTCCTTGCTCGCTCTGTTCCTGTAGATTGAATTGCTCCACGCAGTACCTGTGATCACACAATCGCATCACGTTTTTAATTCAATATATACAATATACACGTGGATGTATCTTGTATGCATGTATAAAATGTATACCTTCCAAGTTCTTGAATTTCCATATTGGTCTGAACGCCCGGAACGTTTGACTTCCCTCCGAGAACGACGGACTTCCTTGAAGCGTTCGCCGATGGAGTCACGACCGCGATCACCAGAAAACCTAACAATGACAATCGAAGAGAGACCTTTAACATTGCATCCATTGCTGCTCACTTTTGGCTTCAATTTGATATTTTGTGTGATTTGTTTTCCTCTTAATGTCTCTTAAAACGTTTGTTTTTTTCTTTTCTTTTGAGAATGGTTTGTGTTGTATGTAAGATATTGGGTTGTGTGTGAAAGAAAGAGAACGAGAGAGAGGTGTTTATATAGAGAGAGAGAGGAGAGAGATAGGGTTTGTTGGTGGTGTTGTGTTTGGGTGTACGTGAATGGGGTCCCATGCCATCGGCACCTTCGGGGTTCCGCATCTTTTAAGTTACTTTCTGATCAAAGTCTCCACGTGAAGTGAGTCCCCACCATTTTAACGTTTTGTGACAATTTCTCGGATTGGTAATAATAAGCAACAAGATTCAAATAATTTTCAGAACGAATGAGTGAAAGAATCGAATATTTTTACAAGTGATTAACCAGTTCATAGTTTAATAGGATCGAAATGGTGTTGACAAGCCCAAAAAAAAAAGGAGATGGTTAAAACCGAATGAGAGAGATTCAGACCCTAGTTTCTTAAATTGAGTGATATTTTGATCATTAAATTACCATAAATTTGGTTGATATCAGTAATATGTTAAAAAAACATAAAGTTCTTAAGTTTTCTCTTATATAATTTTAGGGAATTATGACAACATACGCGGGAAATAAAGTTGTGAAATGTTTCAAGTTTTGTTTGTGTCTTATTTGTTTCCGTGATCCGTATCCGTTGTTTAACAAATTGCACCAATGAAACAATTTAAAATTGATAATTTGACCAAAAGGGATCATGGGTCTTTAGACTTCCTTATCGCCTCGATTTGATTCTGAGTTATTATTCTTGTCTTTTTGTTGGTTTTGTTATAATGCGAGGGAGCGACACGTATGAGCTGAATTTGACATCTGCCCTCTCTTCTCTTCGCATGCTGCTCACGTAGCATCTCCTCTTACGTATGCCAAACTAATGAGCCATACATATTATCATAATAATAATTTGAATCTGTTACGGACAAGGAAGAAATGTATATATAATACAAGTATTGTTTCAGTTTTCATGCTTATGCAATCAAGCTATAAAACAAAACAAAATAAACGTCGACAAGAAAAACACTATAAATAAACTTAACTAGGAATGCTTTCTAACCAAAAAATAACTTAATCTGTATATATAAGATATCCGAAGTGGCGATTGGCTGTATTTATGTTCGTATTTTAAATAGCAATTGATGTTCATATTTCTCTGGGGGATTAACTTTTTGTCCATTGTAGTCTATTTAGGAGATTAACATTTTGTTGCTGTTATCGGCCCAAACCATTTGCGTACTTGGTGTATTCTATAAGAAGTTAATCTCCTAAATAGCAATTGATGTCCATATTTGTTTGGGCCGATAACCATTTGCGTACTTGGTTTACTTTCTTTGTAGAAGAAGCAGCTCTAATACAAACTTGTTTTTTTCACCATTATTATCATGTTCTAGAATTACAGTTTTGTTTCATTTTCTATAATGATCAATACAAGTATACAACGATACACAACTTCTTACAGAGTTACAGTTTACAGAACAATAAACTACTCCAATGATTTGATACATGCAAAAAAGTTTCTTACTGCCATCAGAACATTTAAGGGTAAATAAGCTATTAAAAAAAAAATGAAAATAAGAACACTCAAGGGTAAATTTACCTGAAGAAAACAAGTTACAAAGTTAAAATGCAGGGTAATTCTGAAATTTTTCTTATAAATGTGTCAACATATGATTGCACGTGTGACATGTTCTTATGTATAAGCGATTTCTTTTGTTTTTCCCAATAACTTGCCATGTGTCAACATATGATTGCACAGATGACTTGTTTTTAAGAGATGCTTTGACGGATCCTTGACAACATTAATCCTCACTAGATTCTCCGTAGTCCGTACAGAAGCTTCTCTGACGTCTTTGTCTTCTTCTTCTTCTTCTTCTCTCTCTCTCGTAAAGTGCGAAATCAAAACTCAAAATACTTCGCTCAGTTCTCTAATGGATCCAGAAGGAATCGATGGAGTTCGTATGACTTGGAACATCTGGCCACGAACCAAAATCGAAGCCAGCAAATGCGTCGTCCCTTTCGCCGCTTCCATCTCTCCGATCCGTCACCACCGCGACATCATCTCCTTGCCTTACGCTCCTCTCTGCTGCGCCAACTGCTCCGCCGCACTCAACGCCTACGCACGTGTCGATTTCAACGCGAAGCTATGGATCTGCCCAATCTGCGTCCACCGCAACAAGTTCCCGCTTCACTATCACCAGATCTCAGAGACCAATCTCCCTCAAGAGCTCTACGCTCAGTACACCACCATCGAATACACTCTCCCCGATCAACCCGGGGCTGCTCCTGCTGCGGCCGATCATCACTCGGCGTTCGTTTTCGTGCTGGACACGTGTATGATCGAGGAGGAGTTTGATTTTGCGAAATCGGCTATTAAGCAGGCGATTGGGTTGTTTCCGGATAACGCTCTGGTTGGGTTCGTCTCGTTCGGAACGCAGGCGCACGTGCACGAGCTAGGGTTTTCCGATTTGGCCAAGGCCTATGTTTTCAGAGGAGATGCGGAGGTTTCAAAGGAGCAAGTTTTGGAGCAATTAGGTCTTGCTGCTTCTGGTAGACGAGGCCCAATTGGTGGTTATGGTTTCAGCAATGCTGCTCTCAATAGGTTTCTGTTGCCTGCTTCCGAGTGTGAATACACACTTGATTCTGTAAGTTCCTCTATTTGGTTGGACTTTGATGAATGTATTGAAACTGTATCAATAAGATTTATGAGAATCTATGTTTTGGGTGTGGTGTAGCTGTTGGAGGAGCTGCAAACGGATCAGTGGCCAGTTAAGGCTGGTTGTCGTCCTTTGCGGTGCACCGGAGTGGCTTTGAGTGTGGCCGTTGGACTGCTTGGAGCTTGCTCTCCGGGAACTGGAGCCAGAATCATTGCTTTAGTTGGAGGTCCATGTTCTGAGGGGCCAGGGACGGTAATTCCTCTAACCACATGAAACCTCTCTAGGTGTTGTTTCTTTGGCCACTTAAAGAAGGCTTTTTGTTTTGAATCAGTGTTGTACTTTTGACTTTTTTTTTTGCAGATTGTGTCAAAGGACTTATCAGAACCCTTGCGCTCGCATAAAGATCTTGATAAAGGTGCAGCTCCGTTCTATGAGAAAGCAGAGAAGTTTTATGATGGTCTTGCTAACCAATTGGTTGATCAAGGTCATGTACTTGACATTTTTGCATCTGCGCTTGATCAGGTACTTGTTTTTATTAACTTGTCATCATGTTTAGTTAATACTTAAAACAGAGAATCTGGAATGAAAAACTTCCATTGTTTTGCAAGTCATGAGGAACTTTATTTAGCTAGAAGGAGATTGTTTTGATGTACTATATAGTTACTGTTTACTCTGACAGTTTCTTTTTTTTTTGAATGTCAGGTTGGTGTTGCTGAGATGAAAGCTACAGTTGAAAGAACTGGAGGGCTTGTTGTTCTATCAGAAAGCTATGGCCATTCAGTATTCAAAGACTCTTTCAAGCGAGTATTTGAGGATGGTGAACAATCTCTCGGTCTTTGTTCCAAGTGAGCTACTTCCAGTGCCTTGCATCTTCTTGCTATTTCATTTCTTAGTAATGATATTTTTCACACTTTTCGAACAATCATTTTCAGTGGAATACTTAAGATAAACTGTTCAAAGGACATCAAAGTGCAAGGGATTATTGGACCTTGTGCGTCATCGCAAAAGGTGTGACCTTTATACGCAGTGCTCGAAACAAACTTAAATGTGGCTTTTCATGTATATATATATCTTAACTTGTCATGCTTCGTTGAAAACATTTTCAGAAAGGACCTAGTGTTGGTGATACAGTTATTGGGGAAGGGAATACTACAGAATGGAAGATGTGTGGCCTTGACAAAAGTACATGTTTGACTGTCTTCTTTGATATATCTTCTAGTGACCAATCAAGCAATCCTTCTGGAGATAACCTACTATATCTACAGTTTCTTACAAGGTATGCTGACAACAAATTTTACCTTCTCTGCTTGCTGTATCCGAGTTATGATGCCTGCAAAGTATTGGAATTTGATCTTTAAATATCTGGTTTTTCAGTTACCAAAATCCACAAGGCAAAAAATTACTTAGTGTTACAACTGTTTGTAGACAATGGGCAGATACTGATATTAGCACTGAGGTCAGTGATTTTTCTCTTTTACTTTCTTGATTTGGTGTGCATGGATATCAATACTAAAAAAAAGGTTTGTAATATCTGCAGGAATTAGTGCAAGGTTTTGATCAAGAAACTGCAGCTGTGGTGATGGCAAGATTAGCTTCCTTGAGAATGGAAACAGAGGTTCTTTCACTTTGGCTTATTTGTATCTCTATTATCATTAGCGTCTTTGGTTTGTTTGTTAACTGTCTACTATATATTTTCCTCAGGTGGAATTTGATGCCACGAGATGGCTGGATCGAAACCTAATTCGTATTTGTTCTAAATTTGGTGATTACCGGAAGGATGAGCCTAATTCATTCACCCTCAATCCAAACTTTTCACTATTCCCTCAGTTTATATTCAATCTCCGACGCTCACAGTTTGTGCAGGTAAGTGTGAGGTTATAACTTATAAGTTGCTCTTGGTTTTGCTCTTGTGTGCTAAATTGTTAATGTTCTTTTTCTTTCTTATGTATACTCTCAGGTGTTCAACAATAGTCCAGACGAAACTGCCTACAACCGCATGCTATTAAACAGAGAGAACATATCAAATGCAGCCGTCATGATTCAGCCATCTCTAACAACATACTCTTTTAACTCAACACCTCAACCAGCATTGCTTGACGCTGCTTCAATCGCTGCAGACCGTATCCTCTTGTTGGATTCATACTTCAGCATTGTCATATTCCATGGATCCACAATAGCACAGTGGCGTAGTCTTGGCTATCAGAATCAACCCGAGCATCAGGTAAAATAAGCTCTTTACATATGCAACTTTTCTTACATGTTCATATAAAACTGATCTTCTTTCTTTTCTTGTAGGCGTTTGTGCAACTATTGCAAGCGCCTCAAGACGATGCTCAGATGATCGTTCACGGACGTTTCCCAATGCCAAGATTAGTTGTATGCGATCAGCATGGATCTCAGGTTACTCTATTTTTTTTCTCTCTCAGTACGAAGTAATGTATGGTTTTGATCGTATTGTTACTTACAAATTATAAATGGACAGGCAAGATTTTTGTTGGCAAAGCTAAACCCTTCAGCAAGTTACAATGAGAGCGAGACCATGAACGATGTAATCTTCACAGACGATGTTAATCTTCAAGTTTTCTACAAACATCTCCAGAAATTAGCCGTACAATCTTGAGAAGAGTACACTACAAATTAAAGGTCTCTCTCTCTCCATCATCTTTAATTACAGTGATTTTAATTTAATTGAAAGAATAGAAAACATTTTACAAGACAGATGAATATATAAATACAAAAACAAATGTTTGTCTCTAAGTTATCTATTTGTTTCTCTCCTTATACCTTCTATTCTCTTAACCACTCCCTTCACAGCAACATCAAAAGCATCTTCAAGAGCCTCTCTGTTTGGTTCTTTCCGGTTTGGTTTGGTGTAGACAATCTTCGGAACCAATCTTATTACGTTTTCTCTCATTTTAACCACTTTCTCATTCGGTATTCCGAGCAAAATCTTTTCGATTTTGTTTCTTCCTACGGTTCTCAGCTCCTTAACCGGTATATAAACCGAATACTCGTCATTGTTCTTGGGTAAGTGCCATACATACTGCTTGTATGCACTTCCTTGGTTGAAGAAAACCGGAATACAACCAGCCAAGATCGAATCAAAAACCGATCTTCTGGTTAACGAGTCACCCGGCGGTTGTAAGCAGAAAACCGAGCTCTCGAAAAGCTTCATCAGACTGATCGGATCATCGCAGCCGTTGGCTTTAACGCCGCAGTCAAGAAACCTACACGTCTTAGAAGAACTCTTGCATTGTTGTATAACTCTAGTGCGAACTAAACCGTTCTGGTTTCTGCTCGGCCTTTCAGCTCCCGCGAATGAGAAGAGGATAGTCCGGTTCGTGACCTTGATCTTCTCTTGCCACCGGAGGATCTCGGAGGTTGACGTTGGGTGAAAGTAAGTCGGATAAGGAATCGCAAATTCGTTGTGGCTCGTTGGACTCCGTTCAATGGTGAGGAAAGAGAGGTTATCTGACTCTGGTAAGAGCATTAAATTAGTTCCCCATCCGTACTTACTGTCGGAGTTTCGCCGGAAATCTCGTGAAATCCGACCGGTTACGAGGAAATGGTCTTTACCTGACATACCTGGTTTCCAAACTGAAAACTTTATTTTCTAGTTTTGTCAAAACATAATAATTAGCCGACAGACTAAACCAAACTCATTATATTTCACTTAAAATATTTAACAAAGATATGATTTACGTCTGATGTTGGTTTACAGAAATATTTTAGGTTGTACATTTACAGAATTTTTAAAATTTGAAACCTTTTTGATAGCGAAAGAGTACTTTTAAAAATTAAAATTGAAAGGCTTTGAATTTTCTTTTCAAAACAAAAGTCGTCGGCGGAAAGGGAGATTGTTGGTCTGTTGACTGTTACATTTCTTTGAAGTTGTTCAATTATTATTGTTTAAAATCAAAATAACAATCAATCATTGCAAATGATCAAAAACATTAGGGGTCAAAAACGAAATTTTCAAAAAGTAATAAAAACACGCGTACCTTTCCATTGGGGCTGCTTTTTAAGCCATTTAACAAGTTCCTTCCCGGCGGCGTCTCTCGCGGCGACGTTACGCCGCCGTAGACTTCGCCGGAAATCGAGACCAGCATAGTAAGGTATGTAAATAGCTGAAGCGAGCGACGAATTTCTTGTCAAGCAATCGTATCTCTTCATTTTCTCGTGGAAAATCACTTCAAGCATGAACTGATTAGTTGCGTACCAGCTCGGAGAATACTGAGAATCGGTTGAAACTCCGTCGCCGTTAAATTCACCGATGAGTGGTCCGAAACCGGAGTTCTCAAGGTGCTTACACATACTGACTTTGTCCTTTGGTCTTGAAATCGACTTGCAATCTTTGATGATGTCGATGTTGAACCGAGAAGGTAGATTGTGGATATATATATAGCGGCCGATACAGGAATCGTCTTTGACTCCGGAGGATTTGTGATGATCGGATTTGGAGGTATTGGTGGTTGTGATGGTGGTGATGAGGATGAGTTTGTTTTGGGAGAGACGAAGAAGAAGCAGAGATATGGTGAGAAGAGAGAGGAGAAGTAAGAGAATAGTTGGTTTCTTCTTCCATGGCTGGTTCTCGATGTTGTTGTTGTTGTTCTTCATCGTTGTTGTGAAAGTTGTGTGATGTTCTTGATTTGACGATCCATGTCAAATTGCGAGAGAGAAAGGTCAGAGATCGAATAATATATTATTAGAAACAAAATGTGGTCCCTACAAGGCTACAAAATGAATTTTGATTTGAGAATTAAAGTTGGATCTTAGATTAGTTTCATAATTTGTAGATTTTATAATCATATACATACGTAGGTGGGTAGAAACTTCTTATGATTGTATTTCCAAAAATCAATATATTTGGTCAAAATAGTATGGCTCTTGCTGCTTCCTAATTTCCTATTGATCGAGCTAATTTATAGTATTAAAAAAACACTTTCTGTTTTTATAAATGGTTTCATTTTATATAAAAACGTACAACTTGGGACGTGTAAATATACCAAATCATATTACTAATAAGATAATTCTTACTACTTATATAAATCGAGAATATGGCATGTCTTAGTACCAGAAAGGACAAGAGTTTTTCTATGGCTAGTAGTTCACCAAGTCATCATGACCAATATGGAGCGACAGCGGAGACATCTTTATGATACAAGAGTGTGCCAAGTGTGTAAAGGAGGAGAAGAATCCATTCTACATGTTCTCCGAGACTGCCCTGCAATGAGTGGGATTTGGACACGAGTGGTGCCACCACAGAGACAACGCGAGTTTTTTAACGCATCACTACTGAGCTGGTTGTTTGAGAATCTCGGCCATGATGCGGATATGGGAGGATATCTCTGGTCTACGTTCTTCGCAATGGCTGCTTGGTGGGGATGGAAGTGGCGGTGCTAGAACATCTTCGATAGAGCAGGGAAATGCAGAGACCGGGTAAAGTTTCTTAAGGACTTAGCTAAGGATGTCGCGTCATCACATGCGAAAACACGAGAAGGTGCTCTCCCTTAGAGCCAAAGTTGAAAGGCGTATCGCATGGGAACCGCCAACGAGTGGTTGGATGAAGATGAATACTGACGGAGCGTCAAGAGGGAACCCTGGTTTGGCCACAGCTGGAGGTGTCCTACGTGATGAGAATGGGAGATGGGTACACGGTTTTGCTCTCAACATTGGCATATGCTCAGCCCCGCTTGCCGAGTTATGGGGAGTCTACTATGGGCTATGTATGGCGTGGGAGGGACGAGTCACACGGTTGGTTGTGGAGGTGGACTCAAAGGTAGTGGCGGATTTCTTCAACACATGGATAAGTAAATCTCACCTCCTGTCTTTCCTTTTCCTAGTACGTTTGTGCTATGGCTTTATTTCTAGGGACTGGCTAGTCCGAGTTACTCATCTACAGAGAAGCGAATCGAGTTGCCGACGGTTGGGCGAATTACGCGTTCTCATTACCTTTAGGTGTTTTTTCATTTACCTCTTCTCCTGTTGAGATATCAACATTGATGATAGAGGACGTAGATGGCTCTTCAAAAGCTCGTATTGTAAGACTTTAGTTTGTTTGTTCAATAAAAGGAGACATTCGTCTCCTCTCTCATACCAAAAAAAATATAAATCCAAAAAAACCAAAAAAACAGGAAAGCAAAACTATTTAAAGTGTCTTGTGTTCTTGTACCTTTTGTGCGTTTAACCAAAACATACGTTGCTTGCTTTGTGGCATTATTTGACTTAACGGTCTAACGTAAACTTTAGACAAAGACTCTGGCGACATACTCAAACCGGCTTGATATCGACTTCTCGCACCTCAAGTTTTAACCCTTTGCCTCCTCCATTTGCCAATGGATGGATCCCAAGCTCAGGCCCCGTCATGTACGCCCTTGCATCCCTCTCTCCCTCTATTGATACCTCAAACCGCTTCTCTGCCTCTGCATCCATACACAAGTCCAACTATAAGCTACCAATGATCTTTACTTAAATTATGCCATATACTGTACATCATGACCATTGCTAGCTATAGTTAATTACCTTAGTTTAGCTAAACGGGTCTAGACTCCAATATAAGGTTAACTCATACATAAATAAAAATTGAAAAAAACTTGATAAAAACAAGAGAAACCAACCAAAAAGTGACAATTTTTGGTACATACACCTTTTTTTAAAACATAAAGTTAAGTCATACATACACCCTTTTTTTCGAACACCTAGACCATTTTTAAAAGACATTTAAATAGGCACCGACTTAACTTTTTTTCTTTGAAAATTAAATTGTAAACCGCAAGAAATCTCACATTATCAAACTAAGAAACGACCTAATTATCAAATGAATTAGCTTTTACCTTGAATCATCTCGTGGAAAAGCTGGCCATCGCGGGTAACAGCCATCATGACATTAGGTATACCAAGGGGAAGCTCATGCCCCAAATCAACTTGCCAAAAATGGAAAACTTTGCCATAAGTCTTTGCGACTTTGTCAAGATCTTGACGTTGAATGGCACCAGGAACACCAGGCATGAACAAGAACCCTCCTTTCACTTCCCACTCGTGCGTGTGCCAAAGCTTCTTCTCCTCGTCGGGCAAAGTCATGAACAGCTTCTCTGTTACTATGTACTCTAATCCGATCAGACGAGCGTTTGCATCCGGACTGTCGTAGATCAGACACTGACGCATCTCTTCGTTCACGTGACTGCAGTAATGGTGTGCCTCCACTTGTCGTGTCATGTCGTATGAATAGAAATGGAACCTGCCACGGTGCCACCTCAAGAAATGAAATTACACACTTTCTGAAAATAACTACTACAAAGAGATAATTAATTGATTATTTTCTTTTCATTTTTGGGTAAAGAACTATACCGTTCTTGAGATTAAAAAAAAAAGATTAGATCCAAGGTAACTCCGAACAGAGACAACTTAGAAAGAACATGTACACGCAATCATATATTTCTCTCAACTTGCAAACTGAGAATGGAGAAGCACAGATAATACAAGAGGAAAAGGTGGAATTGATAAAGATCGGGTTTACGTACGCGCAGAGGTGTTGGTGGATTTGGTTAACCGGAGCGAAACTTTGGACGGCGGAGGCAGCGGTGTCGATTATGGAGGTGCCCGTTTTCGTTGCCTCCCCTGGAATCGCCGGTCCAGACGTCGTCGATGAGTGGACAGCCTTCTCCATTTTTATTTAATTATTTGCTCTTCCTCTCCAAATTTTGCAAAGCAACTAAACAAACAAAGTAATTGCAAAGGGATAATAGATCATTAGATCATGCATACCCTTCATACTTGTGTGATCTAAAAAAGGAGTGTATGCATGAAGCGTGACATGTGGCAGTCCCTGAAAGTTACATGTGGCAGTTCTTTAGGGCACGAACAAGTCAAATGTTTTAAAGATTTTGGAGTAGCTGTTGTACTTGTAGACAAGTGTTTGTTACAAAGTTTGTGATACGTTGTGACATGATCCGTTAGTCAGTAGCCAAATATCCCATTAAGTATCGCTTTCGTAGATAAATGGTACTAAAGCTAGAAGTTATAACGAGTTTCCTTGAAGTGCAAACAACACGTAAGATCTTTGAGTTTTCATCTGTTTACTTATGATGCAAGTAACTCAAAACAGTAAAGGTTTCAGAAATCTCTGAAACTCATTTTTGGATCGACAGCTTTGGAGCCTCTTCTCCCTCCTCTGCCTCGGCCTCTCCCTCGTCCCCTTCCTCTTCCTCCACGCCTCACAAAGGACCTCCCATGTTTCACTTCAACAAGTGAGAGAAGCAACTCATCACACAGAACACACCCTTGATGCAGAGTGGCTCCGTTCTCCAGAGGAGTGGTTTTCTTGTTGAAGTCGATCTCTATGATAGCCGAATCGCAGTCGGGACAGCGGTTGCTAGTGGTGGCGATGCGGTGAGCACCTTCCGGAAGCAAAACGATGCAGCTACACAAGTTGCAGTTGAGTTTCCACTTGGGGAAGCTCACCGGGTCCAAGACGAGTGTGCCTTCACACTCTGGACAAGCGCAGACTCCTTGGTTTCTCAAAGAGTGTTGGCAAGTAGGATGAGGACAGAGAGAACACGGCATGCCAGCACCGGTTTTAGAAGCGTTGGCCGTCTTAGTTGCTCCAAAGAGTGTGTCTATGCCTTCGAATGGAGGAGAGTTGTAGCAGTACGGACATAGTGGAAATGACTTCCCCTCGGGTCCTGGAACTGAATAGATCACGAGCTCAAAGTTGTCTAAAGGACATGTGAGTTCCTTGTATAGCTGTAAGAAAATCAGAGAACAAATGAATCAGATTCAGCGTAAGAGTTTAGGTGGATGAAAGGTTTTTACCTTGACGGTCCCCTTTTGAGGAAGATAATAAACTTCTTCGCACGTGCCACAGAAGAGACGTGGTGGGTTAGCTGTGATGTGTTTCATGTAGCGCAAGCATTTTCCACATTTGCTTAACGCGCGGCCAGAATCAGCCTGAGGAGAGAACTGTGATTCAAAGAGAGCATCCATGTGTTCGATCTGTAAAAGACAATATAACACAAGCCAAGTTTAAAATCGAAGACTTTATTAGACTAATGCCTTTAAGGAAAACATAACACATAGGCCACTTTTCCCCAACCTGTTGAACAAAATAACTGAATTTACGCCGGAATTGCTGAATCACATGTTGCACAACGTGTGAATGATCAGCTTGGCCCTTGGCAACAAGAGTGATTTGTTGCTCGATAAAGCTCCGGATGTCTGGTAAGCAGAGGTCTGGATCAATACATTGGTAGCCTCTTATCAGCGTGATCCCTAGTGCCGTTGGAACCAGTTTCCTTCCAGATTGGACCTGCAAGAGAACGAAACACCAAACAAGAATAACGAAATTTCTCAGAAAACAAAAATAGATCCTCCTGAAATGAGTAAGTAACATGATAATCATGAAGAAATGCACACCGCCTTTGAGTTAAACCCACCTGAACATAATTACGTTCACCAATGTTGTTTATATGCACAGGTATTGATGCATCTGTGCCTATGCCATGCTTCTCCATTAGAGATATCAGCTCACTCTCAGTAAGGAAGTCAGGAGGTGCAGTGTTCCCCTGTAGATTTTACAAGATTCACAGACAAATAGAAAGGATAAAATAAAACTGGAAACATTAAAGCAATTTGTGTTCTTGTACAAGGCAATGAGAGCAGGGAACCGAAGGAGAAGAATGTAACCTCGTACAGCTCCACTCTTGAAACTTCAATCTTCTCTCCTTTGAGAAAAGTAGGGAGTCTTTTCTCTTCTACTGCAGACCATGGCATTATAGCTGTAAACCCCTTTTCTGTCACACGCTGGCCCGTACAATGGAAAGTTTCCCCACCAATTGACAATTCCACTTTAGTCCTGAGATTCCATCCAAGAGAATACTACATATAAGATGCGCAAAGAATAACTGTAACTGGAATGGATCAAGCTACAAAAAAGGCTACCTTATGTATTTGCAGTTAGGTGAGACGGTGCCAATAAAATGTTGACAGACATACTGATAGACTCGCCAAGCATCTCCTCCGACACTGGCCTCAGTTGCTGCTCGCATTGGGGTGATAGGAGGATGGTCTCCAGCATCGGTTCCTGACTTTGGCTTATGAATACCGTCTGAGAGCAGTCTCTGTACGTAACCACCCCATGCTGGATTACTAACTTGTGCTCTGAGTGTATCCGTGAAGTCGAATGAAGAAGGATAGGCTGTGCTTTCCGTGCGCGGATAGCTAGCACAAAACATAATAGTTTTGAGTCAAAAAAGTTCTATCACCATAATAATAACAGGAAAAAGGTTTCAATGGGAAAAATATGATATATGTATATCCTCATCAGCAAAGGTTGAGGACATACATACATCATCTGAATCACACAAACGAAACTACCATTCATTAACGATTTAGGATCTACCAAAACTAGCCAATTATATGCTGGTAAAGAGGAGTTAAATGACAAAAATAATGATCTGGATTCTAGGGAAATGGAGCATGCGAACCTTATGAAGCCTTGTGTATACAATCGCTCTGCAAGATGCATAGCCGTCTGAGGCCCAAATCCTAGAGCACTTGAAGCAACCTGTGTAACCGCTACTGTTATGCTAGATCAGGGAGAGTTATTGAAGTAGTGAGCCAGATTAAGAAATGGCAAAAGCTCTACCCGGAACAAAATCGAAAACCAAAAACAGGATAAATAACACAAGATAGCCAAACTCATCCCCAAAAACAACCATGAAGCTGATGAAAACAAAATTGCTTTGGATGAAAGCAAAATATAACTTTTTCCAGTCTGTGTTTTGCGATCATTAGTACAGGATATGGCGTTCCCCTAACGTATAATGTACAACCAGACAAGTTCATTTTGGAGGAACAGTAATCACGACCCGTGAGTTCTCTCACCTTAAGCAGATTCACTGTGTTAAGACCAGCTGGACGACCTTTGACTTCCTGCTTTTCTGATACGTCAATTACTTTTG